GTATCGCCGAGGGATTGTGAATCTTCGTGGCACCTTGATTCAGATGCAATATCTTAGTGTATGTGAAACGTATGGACCGAAAGGTTACTGAATGTTATTATTCAATTGTGTGACAGTGTTCGTGTCAGAGTCTGAATACGAGTCAGAATACCAGACAATGACTGGACGACACCTTGGTTGTAAAACAACAAATTGTGATTACAGAACGCTTGTGTGTTATCAATATGTCTGCCCATCTGTTCATATTAACTTTCCATCAGGACAGATGGGAGACTGATATAGAAACCAGCATCACTGATATGATTTTAGGTTCAAATCTCAACAGAGGTGGAATTTCAAGATTAACCTGGACTGCTAGGCCAACCCCGCCTAAAATTTGTATCAGGAAATATTCTATGAAATAATACTATGAAGAAATATGAAGATCAAAACCTGTTCTTGAATTAAACCAAAAAAAAAATAATACACACAGACAAAACATGTAGTCACCCAAAAATAACAATGATAGAGAAATTGAAAAAAACTTTGAATATCTAGACTCCATTAGAGACTGTTGAACATAAGTCAAAAAGAAAAAGACCATACCAAAAGAAAGTTTAAACAGCATTAAAATGTTAATAGTTAAACATCAGCAAGGAAATTAAAGTCAAAATTTGACAGCATGCATCGTCCCTATAACACACGCATGTGAGTCGTGGATTATCTCACAAGAAGAAAATAGGAGTTTGTGAGCTGAAATGCTAAAGAAGGATTCTCAGAATACTATAGGCAAATAGGAAAATAAAAACCGACATTCTAAAAGATCTGAACATCAAGGAAGACTGGCTGGTAAACAGCATCTTGTCTCAGAAACTGAAATACTGTGGCCAAATCAAGTGCCATGGCGGATTTGGAAAAAAATTAATAGCAGAAGCTGTGGAATGAGGAAAGAGGGACAGGGGTCGACCAGCATAAAGATGGGCAGAGGAAGGATATAAGTGACACCTTGGGTAGAAAAGTGCATGGGACGGGACAGCTGGCAAGAGACCAAGTTTCTTTCGGGCAAACTGTGATGAAAGCGATGTTCTGCAAAGGACCTGCTACTGATGATGATGAATACTCTGTTCCCCTACTGAGTGGCAGTTGATATAGACAAACATAGGAATGGCACCATATGCCAAAAGGCATGGGAATGGGACCTTTATTTGTTTGACTGAGCACAATCCCTGTTTAAATGGGTTAAAGCAATAATGCATCCAAGGTATACCAAGAGGGGCAGAAAGACATGAAGGTTAATTTAAAGTTACCATGGGGACACAAGTAAACACAGGACTAAGCACGAGTTTTGTGTATTTTATACAGAAAGATCTGGGAAGGCTAACCCGGGCTACCAAAGCCTGCAGACGTCAGATGTATCAGCCAAAAGGCGCAAATATGTCAGCCATGCTGTAAATGGGCATAATGCATTTATATCTTCGGATAAAGGCAGAAGATGAAGAACATAAACAGACTAATTCTTTTGTTTCACTTTTTTTGTTTTTAAATTCTGAAGCATGCACTATATGAGATACAACAAAATTTATGAGACATTCATTAGTGCACTCTATTTTTTTATGTCTTCATTATTCAATCACACAGTCAATCATAGAAAACATTGTGCAGAAGTATTATTTAACACAAAAATTCAGAAACCTTTACCTCTAAAGAAGCATCTTCTGGGAGATCTGTACAGTGTACAGCATTCTGAACTTTACTGATGCCAAACTTTGCTCGCAGTGTTCTTGGACGAAGATGACGTGCAATCTCCTGTTAAAAATAAAAAGTGGAAGAAAAACTATTGTAGAGCATTTTAAAGTTTTTTGATTTTTTTCTTCCCCAGACCTCTTCTTTACCTGAGTTTAGGCCCTCTACCTTCTTCTTTCCGTTTATCAGCTGTAAACTTTAGCAGAAATTCCAGGCTGTTCATTAACTTCTTGATTATGACCTTGTTCTTGGACCTGAGTGGTGTGCACACATACATTTTATAGATTTGGCTTTTCTGTGTGCAGACTATTGGTTCCTTGCCTCTCCAACCATGAAGGAAATGTAGCTGGGAACCTGTTTCTAGGATGATCACTAGAAGTGCAGATCGGTTTTGACCATATGAATAAATGAATCAATCGATCAATCAGGTGCCGTCTCCACAATGAAGGTTGGCTGGAATAGATCTCTAAAATGCTCTGTCTCCTGTCCTGGTTGTACATTCTCTCAGACTGCTGCCCACCCATCTCTTGATGTTATCCTCCCATTAGTATTATTCCCACTTCTTGCTCTCTTGCCTTCGACCTTTCCCTCCACTATGGTTTTTAAAAGCGATATATGTCTTTTAATTTGGCCAAAATATCTAAATTGAATGAGCTGCATAAACCCTGGTTTTGGTCCGCCACTGCATGTGGTTCAGCACCTTTGAACCCCGACCCTCAGTCAGCTCATGCCAAGCTGTTCTCTCTTTTGACATTTCCTGCAGCTCACTTCACACCCTCTCTATGTTATTTGTTCATCTCTCATTCTTTACTCCATGTGGTTTCAGATACTCTTCTATTCATTTTGCCTTGTTCAAAACAACGCAAAAACATTCCAGTTATAATCAGGTTTTCTTAATGAGTGTCAAATACAGTAATTTTTCATCACTTCTTGATTTGCTACCTTCTTTAGCTTCACAAAGGTGATGGTCATATTGTTGAATTCTTTCTGCTCTGTCAGTTAATGAACATTTGCAGTTAATCAGTAACTGTTTTAGTCATTATCCATGTCTCTACACCAAACAGTAGTAATGATTTGACATAAGATAAACAGATGATGGTATCTTTCCTGCCTGGGATTCTGAAAGGCTCAATGCAAGCTATCCTTAGAGAGCTGTGCAAGATTCTCTATCAATGCAGGCAAAAACAATTGATACCCCAAGAACTAAGAGATACTAACTATAAAAACAAGGGAGACAGAAGAGACTGTATTAACTATTAAAGTATCTCTTTGTTAAATTAGAAAGAGACTACATATTCTAGCAGACAATATTTACATGGAATTACAGTGTAGGTTAAGATTCCACAGATCAACACTAGATCTGATCTTTATCAAGCAGCTACAAGAAAAGTGCAAGGAGAAACAGAAGTCACTGTCTACTGCCTTCATAGATCTCACTAAGGTTATTGATTATGTTAGCAGAGATGGCCTGTTGAAGACCCTTGTTAAATACGGAAGCCCACTCATATTAATGTGCCTCTTTGAATCTTTCCATGAGAATATGAAAGGAGCCATCATAAACATTCGTAATCTTCATCCTTCCAGATTTGTAATGAAATAAAGCAGGCTGCTTTCTAGCTCCCACACTGTAATATTTTTCACTGCATTGCTTTGGCATGCTTTTGGGACAGCCACCGAAGGAATATATCTTATTACACGGTCAGATGGCAATCTGTACAATCTGTCCAGGCTTTGTGCAAGGGGTAGCAGACAAGATGCCTCAAGGACTTTCTATTTGTGGATGATGCAGCCATTACTGCACATACAGAAAATGATCTGCACACTCTCATCAATCACTTTGCAAATGCAGGCACATAATTTGGACTAACCACCAAGTCTCAACAAAATACAAGTAATGGGGATGAATGTAGGGATAGATGTGGTAAATCCACCAACCATTAGCATTTATAACCATGAGTTATTGGTTGTACATGTGTTTGAATACATGAGCTTTTGGATAGCAGACGACTTTTCCCTAGATGCAGAACTAGAGAGACAAATAGGAAAAGCTTCTGCAATTTAAATTACAGACGACTTTACCCTAGATGCAGAACTAGAGAGAGGAACAGGAAAGGCTTCTGCAATTTAAATTAACAACAAAATGTAAATGATCGGGATGAATGTGAGGATGAATGTGGTAAACCCACCAAGCATAAGCATTTATTACCATGAGCTGTTGGTTGTGCAAGAATTTGAATACCTAGGCACTTGAATTGCAGACGATCTTTCCCTAGATGCAGAACTCAAGAGACAAATAGGAAAGGTTTCTGCAATTCTCTTTAAACTCATCAAAAATGAGAGTATGGTTAAACAAAAAGCTAATGGCTAGGACCTAAATGAAAGTTTATGAAGCTTGCATCCTGAGCACACTCTTTTACAGCCATGAAACCTGGACTCTGTATGCTCCTCAAGAAAAAACAGTGAATACTTTCCACACACGTATGAGATGCATTCATGGTATATTATGGCGAGACTTTATCCTCAATGAATATGTACAATCAGGAATGCCAACAATGTACTCTCTACTGAAGCAAAGAAACCTGCACGGATTGGGACATGTCTCTTGTACAGAGAACAGTCGCATTTCAAGCAACTGGTAGGGCATCGTTTTTTCCAGCGCTATTGTAACAGACATGTTGTGGTGAGTGTCAGCATCTTTTTTGTTCTTGAAAAAGGGATGCTTTCACAGGTGAACATAAATACAGACAACAGAAAAACCGACAAAATAAACAAACACAGACAACATAAACACAGATATAAGCACAGACAAAACAAACAAAGACAACATAAACACAGACAACATAAACAAAGACAACGTAAACAAACAAACACAGACAACATAAACACATACAATATAAACACAGACAACATAAACACAGACAACATAAACACAGACAACATAAACACAGGCAACATAAGCACAGACAACATAAACACAGACAATATAAGCACAGACAACATAAATACAGACAACATAAACACAGACAGCACAAACACAGACAACACAAACACAGACAATATAAACACAGACAACATAAACACAGACAACATAAATAAGACAACATAAACATAGACAACATAAACAAGACAACACAAACAGACAAAATAAACACAGGCAACATAAACACAGACAACATAAGCACAGACAATATAAACACAGACAACATAAACAACAATACCAAGACAACATAAACAGACAACATAAACAGACAACATAAACACAGACAACACAAACTTACGGGATCCATTGGACCGCAGAGTTCTCGGAAGGCCATGGGGACCTGCTCAGAGTTCTTTCCTGTAATCTCCATGGCGATGACTGGGCCAGAGGCGAGCTCATTGACCATGCCTGGGTACTCATGTACCACCCCTTTATAGACCTAATAAGGGTGGACACTACAATGTTATCTAACGGGTCAAATAGCATTTGTATTGATAGGAACACACATCCTATACAGGGTCAAAAAGCATTTGTATTGATAGAAACACACATCCTATACAGGGTCAAATAGCATTTGCATTGATAGGAACACACATCCTATACAGGGTCAAACAGTATTTGTATTGATAGGAACACACATCCTATACAGAGTCAAAAAGCATTTATATTGACAGGAACACACATCCTTTACAGGGTCAAACAGCATTTGTATTGATAGGAACACGCATCCTATACAGGGTCAAACAGCATTTGTATTGATAGGAACACGCATCCTATACAGGGTCAAACAGCATTTGTATTGATAGGAACACACATCCTATACAGGGTCAAACAGCATTTGTATTAATAGGAAGACACATCCTATACACACAGAATCAATCCGACACAATCACTAATACATGCATACACAGAGATATCAATCCAATCAAGCACAAGATCAAATCCAGTATACACATACATACCAAAATGAACACAATACACAGACACACATAAAGAAAAATCCAGCAACCACGCACACTTACACACAAATCCAAAACTCATACACAGACACATGGACACACACACACACATAAAGATCAATCCAATACACAAATACACACATATACATAAATCCAACATACATATTCTATGCATTATGGGTGATCTCAATGCAAAAGTTGGTAACAACAACTTGAATAGAGAACTATCAATGGGAAATCAAGGATGTGGTACAATTAATGACAACGGGGAAGACTGAGCGACTTCTGCATTGCGAATAGACTTGTTATAGGAGGAACACTGTTTCCTCACAAGAATATACACAAGCTTACCTAGATATCCCCTAATGGAAGAGATGTAAACCAGATCGACCATTTCATGGTAAACAGAAAATGGCGTGCGTCCCTACTCAATGTGCGTGTCAAAAGGGGAGCAGATGTAGGATGCGATCATCACCTTGTAGTTGCTCTACTACGACTTAAACTCAAAAAAGTTCACACGCAAGTTAAGACACAGACAGCACGCTACAATGTTAATCTTTTAAGAGAAAAAGACATTGCCACTAAATTTATAGTAGAACTCAAGAATAGATTTCAAACCCTATCAAGTGACCCAGACACTCAAACTGCAATCAGCATTCAAGACAGGTGGAACCAGATAAATAAAAATATGCAAATCAACTAGCAACAACATATTAGGTTTCAGAAACAACACCACAAAGAATGGATAAGCAGTCAAATCATGGACTATGTTGCCAAGCGAAAAAGAATAAAGAGCCTCATAAATCACACTAAATCAGAACGTCAGAAAGAGAAACTAATGTTAGAATATAGCAAACTAAATAAAATGACAAAGAAAAGTGCCAGAGCTGACAAAAGAAGATTTATGGAAAATCTAGCAGAAACAGCAGAAAATGCTGCTAAAGCACATGATCTACAAACCCTACACAAAATTACCCAGCAAATTTGCGGAAGCAGAAACAATTATCACAGCATACCCATCAGAGATAACCAAGGCAGACTGCTCACCACAGAACATGCAGTGGACTAAACACTTCTCCGACCTCTTGAATAGACCTGATCCTGAAAATCCCCCAGATATTCAACCAGCCTCTCAGGACATTGACATTATTACTGAACCACCAAGCAAAAAAGAAATCTTTAAAGCTATCCACACTTTAGAGAACAACAAAGCACCAGGCAAAGATGAACTGCCAGCAGAACTTCTCAAAGTAGATCCCAACACAACTGCTAGCGTTCTAGAACCATTTTTCAAGGATATTTGGGAAAAAGAAGTGTTGCCTGATGACTGGACCAAAGGAACAATAGTCCAAATCCCCAAAAAAGGAGACTTAACAGACTGCAATAATTGGAGGGGAATTACTCTACTCTCAGTGCCAAGCAAAATATTTTGTAAAATCATCATAATGAGGCTTGAAAAAGGAGTAGATAAATGCCTACGAGTAGAACAATCAGGATTCAGAAAGGGCAGAGGAACAACTGAACACATCTTCGCCATACGCAACATTTTAGAACAATGCAATGAATGGCTGAGAAGTATATATATTAATTTTGTGGACTTTGAGAAAGCTTTTGACAGCGTAAATAGAGACAGTCTATGGAAAATGTTATGACATTATGGAATTCCAGAAAAAATAGTCCACATAATTGCTCTCTTCTATAAAGACTTCCTGCAGTATAAAAAAATTACATCTTTCCCAGTAAAGACAGGTGTAAGACAGGGGTGTGTTATGTCATTTCTCCTCTTCAACCTTGTGATTGATTGGATACTAAAGAACACAGTAGACAGAACATTGAGAGGCATACGATGGACTCCATTCACCATGCTTGAGGACCTTTATTTTGCAGATGATATAGCACTCCTATCACATAAACATGAACATATACAAGAAAAAAGTAACAGACTACACAGCACAGCAGAAATGGTGGGACTGAGAATAAATACAAAGAAAACTAAGATCATGACAAGCCATTGAGTGGTCATTGCGCTTCCAGTGGGGACACAGCTCTCTCTCGCTCGCTCGATTTACCGCCCGATCAGCCACGTGTCTCTCGTCAGCTTGCCAACTATCCATTCGTAGCCAGATTATCAATAGCTAGATACTGGTCAGAACTCGCTTGACATTCGGCTGAGTTTTGGCTCGACTAGACTATTGTTATTCGTCTGCGGGTGGGTTATTGGCGGCCCGGGAGCACATCATTGTTGTAGAGCCAGTCACACCAGCCAGTTTTTTTAACGATTGTCTCGAGAACTGCGGAGAAAAGCACGCTTGGGTGTCCTTCTCAGGATACTCTAACAAGCCTTGCCAGACTCTGCAGGGACCGAGCAATCAATTGCCGCCCGACTTACCAGCCTCAGCCACACGAAACCATGGCCCGTGGTAAGAAGAATCCGGTCCAGCGCCGGGACACCAGAGCATCCTCAGCCAAAAAGGAGGAAGCACCTGTCGCCGCACCAGAACTGACGATGCCAGAACCGGTCGACGACCCGGAGGAGACACCAGCCTCACACACCCAGACGCCGCCAGCCCTGGATGTGGGCCCTATCGAGGCACCCGTCTACCTAGAAGCCGCCCCAGTCGTGGCGCAGGAACCGAGCAACACCCGCCCACTCAGGCAGCAGCAGCAACGACCGGGAGCCTACACCACAGAAGTTTTGCAGTGCTCTCGCTGCAACAAGGCGTGGCACTCTGCCTCGTCATGCCGCAGCAGCCCTTCGTGCCATTACTGTTCCGGCCCTCACCTATTCAGGGAATGCCCTCTGGCAAAAGTGGACCCTGACTTTAAAAAGCCGAACGCAAGCAGAAGATGTTCCAACTGCTCCGGTGCACACAGCGCCAGGTACATGGGTTGCCCGTACCTGAAAGAAGTCAAGAGAGCGATGGCGAATACCACCACCAGGACCACACACAACCCAGAGCCGAAACAAAGATATCAGGCGCCCAGTCCGACAGCTGTGAACGACAACGACATTACGCAGCTGAGAAACGAAATCAAATCCCTGCGAGAAGAGAACGCAAGAATCGTGGCACTCAGGACTCAAGACAGGGACGAGATGATAGACCTGAGAAGCATCCTGCAGGCATCTCTCGAGACCCAAAGGAGACTCGAGGAGGAAAATACAGAAATGGCAAAGTTCAAAACAGAATTGATGGCAAATCTAACCGAGCTCAAGAAGTTAAAGGAAACAAATGCAGTAGCCGCCAAAGAACTGAAAGACAACCAGAAAAGTATACTTTCCGAGATAGCCACCATCAAGAAAGACCTGACAAAAACAAAAGCAGAGGTAACCGAGGCAAACAAAGAATGCGACAAACTCAGCTGTGTAATCGAAGCCACGCACAGAGTGATAGAAGCCAGAGAAAACGCGAAGAAAGAAAAAGACAGAAAAAGGCAGATCCACGACGCACACGTGAAACCCGGAGATCTAGAGAAGAAGTGCACACAAGACCTATACATCCTCAAGGAATGCCTGAAAGGCGACTTCGCAGCAATAAACAAGGAGGTGAAGCAACTCAAAGAGGCCACCCAGCATCTTCAACTCGAAAGCATAAGAAACAACAAAACGAAGATAACAGCCCACTCAAACGGAAACGACGCCCACGTGAAGTAGCAAGTTGAAAGCCGACATGCAGCAACCAATGAAAACCTCACAAGCCGCCATGACAGCTGAACAACCACGCCCACCAGCCCTGAGAAACCTCACAGCCCACAACCAGATGACACATGTCCGCCGCCCAAGCCACGCCCACCTACCTCACTCTGACAGAAGCAACTAACCTCAGGCAGAAATGTAAATCGCCACAGCAGAAACCTCAATAACTGGAGAACAAAACTCCAGACAACAAAACACCGCTTCGATATAACCAACGCTCATTCTAGGAGCCGGTTGAAAGAAGCAAGAAGTTTTTCGTTTTTTTTTTACCAACACCAGTTACCAGATCATGACAAGCAGTCCAAACCAAAAACCAGTGACCATAAATAACCAAACTCTTGAAAATGTAGAACATTTCACATATCTTGGCAGTGTGGTGTCCCTGCCGGGAGGGACCAAAGAGGACATACAGTCACGTCTGAACAAAGCTAGAGCTGCTTTTGGAAGGATGAGGCAAATCTGGAAATCCAACAATTACTGCAAAGGAACAAAACTCTGACTCTACAAGAGCATCATTTTGCCAGTTCTTCTTTATGGAGTGGAATTCTGGAGAATGACCAAAAAGGATGCACACAAGCTGTCTACCTTCCACCACACATGTCTAAGTAGAGTTATCAAAATTTTCTGGCCAGATACAATCTCAAACACTAAACTAATTCAAGTCACAAACCAAGAAACTTAAGACAATTTGATAACCAAGAGAAGATGGAAATGGCTTGGCCACGTTATGAGAATGAATCCTGATATACCTGCCAAAACAGCTCTCACATGGACACCAGAGGGAAATAGAAAACAGGGGTGCCCAAAAACAACATGGAGAGTGACCTGAGTGCGGCATCTTTCACATGGAAAACTGCACTGAAGATTGCACAGGACAGGAAGGCATGGAAAGTCCTCTCTGAAGCCTCATGTGCCACTAGGCATAACGAGAACTGATAATGATGATGAACATACACACACAAGAATGCAGAAACATCCACTGAACGCACATAAATAGGTACATGCACACACACATAAATGTCAATCCATCACACAGACACATTTATGCATGCACATGTACACACATTAATCCAAACAATTTACACACACACACAAACAGGTGCACCCACTCATGAGCGTGTGCATGCACACATGCACTTACACAATCATAAATGCTGCTTAATTTAATACACAGACACCCATATAAATAGAAACCCACATGCAATAATAAAACCTTTACATTAACCAAATCCTTTTTTTTAAACGAGCCAGGAACGTAGACATTTTTGAAAAATAATTCTTTATAACAAAACATAAAACAAAACAAAAAAAACCATTTTACACAGGTAATTAATAATTTGTTTAAAAATTAATTTTTTAAACTTTTGTTTTGAAAAACATAAAGATATAATATAGGGGTAATCAATGAACAATAAGAGTAAAGCATAAAAAAGAATGCATTTCCCGGAGCCTTACCAAAATATGTATCGGGTCGTTCATGCTATGACCTCTATCACTGAGGCTTATGGGAAAGTTTAAAGCCAACCTGGCTTCTAAAAGGCTTTCAGATTCACAAGGAAACCCCTTTGAATGCTATAGTTAGTTGATATATTCACAGCCAAGTCTACTAAACACTACGCAAGCATCCAGAGAACTGGATGAAGAAAGGATAAAAAAGTTGTGGTTCAAACCTCATAGAATTCTTCAGCGTTGGCTTTGTCAAGTGTGAACATCTGAATTGTGTTCACTGTGAACCCAGCATCTTGAATGGCATTAATGATTTTCCCTGCGTTTCCTGTAGAGGGATAGGAAATATATACAAACATATAAACAAAAAGAATTTCACTGGCAAATTATTAATTCTACCAGACCACTGTACCACTTTTACGGTAATTTCCTAATCTGCTGCTAAAATGCTGTACCTAATTTTTAATACTTTGCGTATTAAGTGATAAAATGGGTCACAAACTAAAAATAACCAATCAATCGTGATTAGACTTCGTGGTTAGTACTTGCAAATGGCTGTCCACATGTGTTTGGATTTATTTTGTGTGGTTTAACATGAAGAAAATTCTGAAAATTCACAAATGAAACAAGCAGCTGATGAACCAAGCACTTCAACAGGAAAGTGAAGTAGGTCTAGGCTTTTCACAGTCCAACAGGTGATCAATACTTTGGTTGATTCAGACTCTGAGGAGTCGGAATTTCATGAAGAATACGTTCCTAGTTGAAATGACACAGTCAGTGAGAGCCAAAAAAGCAACTAAGAGATTTTGAAAGAGGCAGGAGCCAGAAGACAACTAATCACAGACATCAGAAGGAGACAGTCATCATTTTTCGGCTATGTTATGAGAAGAGGTATAATCGAAGATGTGGTAACCACTGGAAAGATCTGTGAAATGAGGGATAGAGGAAGACAATGAGAGAAGATTCTTGACAGTCTTGTTGCATGGCATGGAAGTGTGTCAACACACGAAACAATACATGCTGCAGGAGATCGCAGATTGTGGTGAGGCATAATTGCCCACGCCAGTCGGCAAGGCACCTGATGATGACGATACACTATTCGTATTCGGCCGAATAGTTGGTTCCACTATTCATATTCGGCCGAATAGTGAAAATCACTATTCATTACATCCCTAGTAGATACCTTAAATTTTATGTTTCAGTTAACTGTCTATCACTTTTATCAAGTAACTCATACTGATGTATATTTGTTCTATGAAGTAGTGTCAAAGTATTCGTTACCTCTTCTTCTGCTTCTTTGTTCTTCTCTAAATCTGTTCTGCTTTCAGTGTCAGGTTTTAAAGAGGCGTCAGGTGCGAGCCTTTGTTTGTGCTATGTATATACTGGTATTTATGGCCTCGGATATTCCATCTATCCATTGCTGGCGTGGTCAACCTCTGGATGTTTCTATTGTGTCTTAAGTGACAGGATTATCTGTGGCGCACTATCTGGTGTAGTCCTGACTCATGTCCGAACCATTTAATATGTCTCTTGATGAAGTTTATCACTGGTACTATCCTAGCTTTTCTTCTTCTTGATATTGTAATTTTTGATACTGTTTTTTTCTAGTTACATTTAGGATTCGTTGTAGATATTTCATTTCCACTGTTTTAATTTTATTTTCCTCTTGTTATGTCTCCATCTGGCAATGGTAACAATACTGTTAAAAACACTGTACTGAATAGGGCTCTCCTGGTGTCAACTGTTACATGTTTGGCCACACTGAAAGACACAGAGCTTACAGCCAGGGAACAAAGAACAAGAAGAAGATGAAAGACATCATAATACTTACAAAAACTATACTGAGGGAAAAGTCAAAGGCAAGTAAGTTTGAGATAGGCAGTGATATAAGTGGAAGGACAACATTAAGAGATAACAAGAGAAGAAGAAAAAAAAGCAATCTGAGCGTGTACAACTAGAACACACACACATACACACAAAGAGAAAGAGAGAGTTTTCCAAATCTGCGTCCAGTAGATTTGAACCCAAGACTTCAGGGCAGCAGCCCAGCATCTGCCACTACACTACCGCAGCTTCCATGAAAATAAAACAGACAGAAAGAGAGATTGTGTCTGTGCACGTGTGTGTGTGTGTTTGCTGAAAAACCAACCATCATTAGAAACGGCACCATCTGATTGACTGTCCACACACAGGGAAAATGACATAAAAGAAATTTACCAGCTTTTATGGCATGAGGTTTGACAACACAACAAGTGGAGCCTGATCCCAGCACACAGTTGGTGAACACCTGCTTCTGGGATGATGGGAAGAAGAACTCAATCTCTCTCGCCGCTGAGGAGGGGCCATCTGCTCCATGAACTGCATTGTGGAGGTTGTCTACAACAAGAAGACATTAAACAAAAATATTTTGAATGTCTGCTACCAAGATTTTCCTGAAACATATAAGGATAGATAGGGCTTATGAAATAATATAAAGTGTTTTGGCATTAGCATTACTATATTAGGCATCAATTTATTGCAAAACAAAATTACACTAAAAGTTCAAAATCTCACTATCTCAATCTTAATCTTAATCTTAGTCAAGGTTTCAACTTCACTGCAATCAGGTTTCCTCATACTTGCTTCCGTTCCTGTGCCAGTGAAAATCAAATGAAATGTTCCTCACCTCCCCATCTGAAAAACTTAACACCAATTAGTCCCGCAACAATCCAGAAGTATGTGTGTGCCACAAATACATACGGCAGTTGCTAGAGGGGCCAAAGCCAACAGTCACCATCATAAATGCCGTTTGTCATTGATGAAAGTAGTTGGGCACGATAAGTTGGCTATACACACGTAGAATTATTACATATGATTTTTCACCAGCTCACGCGTAAACCGGAGACCGGCCATATTGAATAACATGACACGACAGCTACACAAATGAAAGTCATTCCACATGAAAAACACAGCTCACAGGGCTGCACCAAGCACTAATTTCAGTAGCTCAGGCAGTGGAACTGTTAAGTGTCCAACATATTCAAAATATTGTTGTCTCCAAGTATTAGCAATCAAAATCTCACCTTTTCCAAACCGTGCCCTCAGAGAAGAAGCGGCTTCAGCTCTTGCCTTGGCTGGGTCTGTTGGTCCAATCATCTCCTGCCATCGCTGAACTGCATTGTCACCCACAAGTTCAAAGGCTAGTACAGGACCACTAGTCAAAAAGTTCACCTTAGCGCTAAAGAAGATGAGACAAGAAACAAGAGCCTGAACACAGAGGTTCACGTTTGGTTGTTGTATTTAATATCTATGCCAGGTAATTGCTAAAAGTCTCTACAACAAAGTGCTAGTTTGCCTTGCGCTCTGAAGGTTGTGGATTCAATTCATGGCATCCTTGTTCAGCTCACATCTGCAATTTTTACAATCCCTGGGGATCATCAATAGAGCTGCGGAGTTCATGCTTTATGTGATGCTCTCGAGAGGTGGCTAGCTGTTCTGCAGAGTAAGATCCAGACATATGAGAGAAAACCAAGTGCAATAAAGTTGATCCTCCCACATTTTAACATGTGCATTATTGGGACTAATAGTAAAAGTAAAGTAAAGATCCCTTTTCATGCCTTTAGGCGCATCAGGCATAAGGGAAGAGCACCTATATTTTTACAGACCAATCGGCACTAAGTGGGTAATGTGGTCAGCATTACGTCAGCCCTCTTTACTTCCCCAGGACATACATCCTGGTAACCATTTTAGGCTGGGACAGCCTGTGAGTCCCCATACCATGATAAAAATCCACGCAGCCAGCAGTGGATTTCGATCGTAGTAAGTTAAAATTACGAGTCAGACTCGCAACGCCTAAGCCACGGACACTGTTGGGGCTAATAAGGGACGAAAAACTGCAATCTAGTTTGGTAGTCTGGTAGTCTTAGTTTCAGCTTCATAGCAAATGGGTTACCCCATCTTTGCTCCGCTAATGTGCCAATGAAAAGCACACAGAATGTTTATCACAGTCCCTTGTGGAAAGATTGACAGACTGCTGTCTCAGCATATCTAGTATACACATGCATTAAAGTATATGGTAGCCATCCGAAGTGCTAACACAAACAGTATGACATTGGAAATGCAGTTCATCATTGATAGTAGCAGAAGTCACCAACAGATAAGCAGTAGCCCATGCGATCAATTTTAATCACATACGGCACCACCAACATTGCGACGACAGGCATCGCACCATTTTCTGAATCTACAATTCACACCACCACGTTGGTCACAGTCGAAAAAACATTCCAAATTAAATCCGCAGCTCACAGTGTCACGCCATGCATTCAACTCAAAGTTGGGCGACGAAACTATATCCAGTCTACAAAGGGACCAAAAATGCATCGGCCACCGTTCAACAGAAGCAAAAAATGTGCCTCGGCTCCAAACAGTGCCCATGCCTAGCGTCCATTTTGACTGCAATCTACTATGCTTGTCATGAGAGAGGACTAAGGAGAGTTAACATGAGTCTAGGTACCTCATTATGTACAAATCTTAGCTTCAAAACACCAACTTCTTCTTCTTCTTCTCAGTTTTCACAGACTGTAAGCTCCGGCGGAAAGTTCTAGTTGTTCATCCACTTCTGAACTTAAGTCTTGTTCCAGAATCTGAGTTCTGCATGCACATCCCTGTGACAGATCAGGCTTATTTATATGCAGACTGTTGGTTTCTGGCCTCTCAGGCAGATGCACTCCAACCTTGTAGTAAACATCCCTAATTAGTCAACTCTTACATGACACAGCAGTTAAAGAGCAGCGGGTCTATTCTCTCCCCCACCCCCTCCTTTTCACATAATGGGGCCCCTAGAACTACACATGGGGGGGGGGGGGGGGGGGGGGGAATCAACAAATTTTAAGCAAGCCTATAAAAGATTTAGTTGAGGACCTATACTCTACTGCAGGGGTTCCCAATCTTTGCTCTATAAAGCTTTCCGCATGCCCTTCCCACGGTCTGTGGTCCCTCCAAAAAAAAAAAAAAAAAAAACTAAAGGAAGTAAGAGACACAAATAGAAACAAATAAGAAATAAATAGTAGAACCAAAAGGGAAAACTAGAAATTACATTCTGAACATAAAATACCGAAGACACTTAATGCAGAACCAGACATTTCAGTGCAATAATTATCATCATCTGAACCTAAACAGGAAAATATGCAACAATCAAAACGCAACCACCAATGTCTGTTGAACTGTTTTTTATGGACCTTATTGCTGCTTTTTCTATCAATGTAAAATCTATTGTAACACAAATGGTTTAATTTACTAAACTCTGTAAGAACTTCCACATATGGCCGTTTTCATCAGTATCACGTTTATTAAAGGTGGTTAAAAATAAGCTATTATGATCAATTTCATAGATTTTAAAATGTATTTTGGACATTATACACTTGTTTAGATATCTGATTACTTCAAATCCCCTAACTATCTATGATCTCTTCCTTCTCTCCATAACAATGCTTATAAACATGATTAAGAAGCAAAACAAATGGTATGTTACGCCTATTGGGCTCCATCATAGACAGTGATTCTAAAATGGGTTCTGTAAGTCAAAAAAGTTGGGAACCACTGCTCTTCTGAAATATTCAGGGCGGCAGCTGCAGCAGCACCAGCAGAAGAAGAAGAAGCAGAAGAAGAAAAAGAAGAAGAAAAGAGAAAGAAAAGGAAAGAAACAGATCCAGATCAAGGTAGTCAGGGCCACTGTCTGAAGATCCTGGAGCTGCTGTCACTCTAGAGCGGACGCTTACACGAAGACCCCTCAATAGGTTCACACTCTACATCAGGGCTATTCAACTAAGCTTACTCAGTGAAGAAATTTTTCCAAAATGGGGATTGTCAAGGGTCAGAAACTCAAACGCTAGCACAGAAAGATCATTAAAACAGTACAGTTGTCAATGTCCAGCGGGCCACATGCTAGGCCTACGTGAGCTCCAGGAGAATAGCCTTGCTCTACATAAATACTGTTATGGCAAAATTCTGTTAACCCCCTGATGTTAAAACAATGTCTCAACATTTATCACAAAGTTGGTGAAAAAGTGTGAAACATTTTGGATTCGCGCCAGAAGTACCAAAACCCTTATTTTGTAGCACTCAAAGTATTCACTGCACCTTTTCTTTTACAAGTCTGTCAGATCTTACTTGCTTCTAGCTCTTTTCGTAGTGTTCAAAATACAACAAAATAAGTAAGAAAGAATGAAAAATGAAAGAAAGGAAGACAGAAAATCTGAATGAAAGAAGTGAAAAAACAACAGAAAGAAAGGAACATCTTTTTTGAAAGAAAGAAAGACAACAGAAAGAAAAAAGAACATGGCAAGAAATAAATAAAGAAAGAAATAAAGAAAGAATAGAAACAGAAAGAAAAAAATCAAAGAAAGAATGAAATAAAGAAATAACTAAAGAAGGAAGGAATGTTCATGCAAATAAAACTTTTAAAATAAGTAAACTAAAAGAAACCTGTAATTAAAAAAAAAAAAAAAAAAAATGCTATAACTTCAGGTGAATCAGTTTAACATTAGAGGTGTATTTCAAATTTCTCATTCTTAGCATTTACACTCTGTAAACTCCAGCAGAAAGTTCTGGTTGTTCGTCCACTTCTAGACTTTGGTCTTCTTCTTCTTTCCTTATATTCACTGGCTGTAAACTCTGGTGGAAAGTTCTGGATTTTTAGTCTCGTTTCAGAACCTGAGTGTGGCATGCACATACGTTTTACACATCTGACTTATCTTCTTCTTCTTCTTCTTTCGTTCGCATGAAATAAATTGTCTATATCTGCAAAGCCGTCTCTTGTATAAATTTCACTGTCTTTTGTAATTCACTAAGCGGCCCGTAAAGTTTGACTTCCACAAGTGTCTCTTTTGGCCAAATGTTTTGCCTGAAAGCGTTGAATATGGGACAGTCTTGAAGGATGTGATCTGTTGTTTCAGGTGCCAGTCCACAAGTACACATGGCCGATTGGCCAATCTTAAATTTGTTGTACATGTGGGAGCGAAGTCTATTGTGCCCTGTTCTAAGGCGAAGGATAATAACTTGCTCTGGTCTGTCCATAATATGGTAATCATCTTGTGCCAGTTTCGGTGGCATTCTGATTGATTTGATCATTCTCTTCTTCTGTTGACTGACTTATCTGTATGCAGACTGTAGGTTCCTTGCCTCTCAGGCAGATGCACTCCGACTTCATAGCAAGCTCCCGTTAGTCGACTCTAACGACATGCTTGTTGGGAAGGCAGTCACTGTTGGTTTCTTGCCTCACAGGCAGATGCACTCCAACTTTGAAGTAAGGTCCCTAATTAATTGCCTCCTATGATATGCTTGTTAGGGAAGGCAGCGGGTCTATTCTTTGTTCTCCAAAAATGGAGTCCCAGAACCAACACATGGATATTCAAGATTTAAAATTAGAGATAAGATTAAAGAATCTTCCAGCCTCTTACTTCATGGCCCCCAGATCTGTCTGATCCTGGTAAAATCTGAATGCATCACTCTGGCCAATCCGACACATCCTTAGTTTGGCAATGTTGAGCCCACGGTCATAGATGGCATCTATGATATCCCCCATTTTGTCCAGGGAGTCTGGCTTGATGAAACCCAGTGTTCTGTATGACATAAAAACATCACATAATGAGAAAAGGGGTAGTAGAAAACAGTGGACGATCAAGTGACATAAGAAGTAGAAGCAGAATTATAATAATAATAAGAAGAAGAACTACTCCACAGTGAGAGCATGCACAACAGGAGTCTACCGATCTTCAGTAGGTGGTCCATCTTTCAATAAATTGTTCGGCCCATCATCCTCCTAAACAGTCTCAAGGGGCGGGCTGACCTGTGTCATGACACCAGGCCTCAGACTTCTGCTGCACTTTATTGGCCAATCAGACAAGACAAAATGTTGGTTTTGTAACAGGTACTGGGGTTATGGTGTTACATATATCGTTACTGCGGTAGCAAATTGAGTGCCTTCCTGTACGACCAGAGTGACAAATGGACGGTTGGTTCATAGGACAGACGTTTATGGGACACACTTTGGCAGCTGGCAATAGCACAGGCAGATGTTGATTGGACAACTATGGCTTTAGAGATTTAAAAGTTCTTTTCCACTAGAATTTATACTGAATTGCCAAACACTGTGATTTTCAATTGACTGATGGTCTGTCCTCTACAGGTTGTTACCAAAACCTGAGAAAAATAAATCTCAGTCTGGTTGTCAAATGACCAGAACAGATCCAAGATACCCTATTCAAACTAAAAAAAAAAGTTATAATTAGGGCATCCATAAGAGCTACAGCAGCCCGGGGCAACCTGCAGGCCTACACTCTTATCACGGCACACCTGAAAGTATCTATTTCTATAGCCAACCAGCCCTATGTGCTTTTACAGCCAATGCCTCTTCAATGTCTTGTATCTACTTTCATGGAGGTCTGCCTCAGTCTCGTTTTCTAGACCCTCAATCACCATTTTCTCCAGGCCACCTTGACCGTTGACATGGTCAAAATATCTCAGCTTAATTTCGTTCATTCTCAGCTTTCAGGACCGGACACTGTTTATGAGCCAATTCTACTTAATGCTCAATTCATGGGCTGGTACACATACACAGTAACATTTTGTTGGCTGGCTGCTATCAATTTTCTAACAGTTTCAACATGTCTTCAATCTGACGCACTAGAGTTATCAGCACTTGTACGCTCAAACAGTGAATATCTGTGCCCTCAGCGGTTTGTGTCATGATATTCAGAAAATGTCATGTGGCTGCTACATGTTTGGGCTGGTGAAGAGTTTTATGCAATAATATCACATATGTATGTCCAGCTTGTTGTGACTGACTACTTCCATCAACAACAAAATTGCAATTCTGGTGACAACAATTTGTTGCTGGCACCTCCAGCTGCTGCCTTATGCATTTACTGCTTGTGCATGTTTCTCAATTTTGTCACGACTAACTACTGTTTATTCATTTTTAAAAGCAACTATGACAGACATTCTATGTCATTTTTATTAGCAGAAAAACAGAACAATTATAGGGTGACCTGTCTGCAGTGACATTAAAACCACGACCAAACTACAGACTGAACGCTGAAAGGGGCATGCATTTATCAGAGTCAGACTATTTCTTGATCCAGTTCCAAAACACCATCCATAGGGGGAACTGTGTTACAAAGCTCTTCTGTCCCTTTCTAAGCTCAGGAAGAACCAAGCTAAGCAAGACTTGTACTTGAAAATTTACAGTGCAAGACTGCTATGGAAACTTTATAGCACAAGATTGCTTTTGAATCTTTACAGTGCAAGGTTGTTGATGTAACTTTACACTAAGTGGGATCCCTTTCCATGCGGTGGAGTACTGTACTAAGATTCTCCTAGTGCATGGAAGAACACTAGAACACTCTGTAAACGGTACCACTTCCACACCTTCAGGCGTATTGAGCATATAGGGCAAGACATATTGTATAAACAACTTGGTGCCAGTGTCCTGCCAGCTGGCTTCACTTCTCATAACTTTTACCTGGAACTCATTTATGGCTGTGTCAACCTGGGAGCATGAACTATAAGAAGAAGGTTGGCATATGTGGTTTAGGAGTTGCAAGGGTGATTTTTACTTCCGATATACCAGTTTCAACTCAACTGCTGGTGTTCTTATGTGGGCTTCAGGGTCTCATATTTAGGAAAAGAGATCCACTGGCCCCCTAACAAACATGTTTTACAAGGTGACTAATTAAGGATGTTTGTTGGAAGTCAGAGGGCATCTGCTTGAGAGGCAAGCGACCAACAGTCGGCATTTGAATAAGCCAGATCTGTGAAACAGATGTGCATGAAAACTCAAGTTCTGGAACAGGGCCAAAGTCTAGAAATGGAACTTTGTGCCAACGTTGACAGCCGGTGAACCCTAACAAAAAGAATTCAGATGCAAGTGATTTCGTAGCAAACTACCTTTAATTGATTTTGACAAAGGTATGGACAGCCGACAGTTTAAAAAGCAAAGGCAAACTACTATAGGTAAAATTGCCAAGAATAACCACAAAAAGCCAACAAGTGCAAGGGCTGGTCTGCCATATGATGTAAAGGATTTGCAAATACGTTATAAGAAAAAGAAGTAATAATATGACCAATACAAACAATCAAAAATCAGCGTATGTGAATTGGTGCTCCCTTTTATGTAAATCACAGATCACTCCAACTTTTTACATTACCTCTCAAGTCTGCTCATAAGCTTTCTCTTTGTGAACTCATCCCCATATTCCACAATTTTTAGTTGCCGGCCAAGGACATTGATAGAAGCACCAATGTAAAGATCTTGGAGCTCAATGGGGCAGGCTGACAAGTTTGTCTTCAGAAACATTTTTCTGGTTTTTATGTCGAACTGTGGAGGAAAATGTATAATCTCTCAGTAATAAAAATGTAAGGAAGAGAGAAAAAAATACCTGCATACTGGCGGTAGATATTATTTTAATCAACTTTTAGAGAAGGCACATAATTTTTTTTAAAAATAAAAATTGCTATTACACATTTTTTTTAACGGATTATATCCAACTAGCAAATATTTACATTTTCCCTCATTAAAAATGTTCTAGGTTGAGCTGTGAGCCATAAATCTGTCGCTGTCTTCGCTTCATTATCAGAGGTTAACCTGAGACTTTGGAAGGCTGCATGCATTCAGGGGACCAAACAGGTTAAAGTCAGAGGAAGCAAGATTAGCGCTATAAGGAAGATGCCTTAGCCCTTTCGTCCCGAGAAGCCACAAAATCAACACTTCTGTACCATTTTCCCATAACAGCAGCATTCCCAGCTCGCTACAGAGACATGTTTACAAGATGTCTAGCTAAGAGAAATAATTGCATCTGTGTTTGTGCAAATGTTCAGTGTGACAAGGAATTCTTAAATTCAATAAAAATAGCATTTGGGTTTGAAAGGCATTTTAACAGAAAAGGCTTTTCCCCTTTCAAACTCAAATGCTATTTAGAAATCCGTATATCACATTAGGGGCACTGAATAAAAATAAGGCAGCTATGAGAAAGAAGAAAAGATGAAGAAAAAGAAGTAAAAGAAAGGAAAATAACATGACGATGAATCACCAGTACCTATTTTAATGTTGTTTCAATATCCATGATCCGCTGATGGTACAGGATGATGAATCATGATTGTTTATGATTACAGGCATAGCACATGATGATATTTTCAGGAGAAAAAAAAGGGAAGGGGGCGCTGTTTTATGTTTTTTAATGAAAGGGGGAAAGGATAGGGGAGGGGTGGGGGGGGGGGGGAGGAACGCTGAGTTATGTTTTGAATGGGGGGAGGGGGTGAGCAAAAAAAAAAAAAAAAGCTTGGGAACCTAAGGTGAGAGGTAAAGTGCCCATTTCTCAATTTAGAGGTAAACATAGTAACAATATCAACATAAATGTAGATAATACAGCATTGATTGCAGACAATGAACAGGATCTGCAGTGTTTATTGAAAGTAACAGTAAGCAACTAATACAATTTGAACATCAAGAACTCTTTTTAAGCCAATGGCACATTGAACATTCATGCTATACTCATATTTTCACAGATTAATTAGCACTTGATCGGTAGTGCGGTCTACATCCCACAGGCTGCTTTTACTTCCCAGGAATGTACCCAAAACCTATTTTAAGTGAGTAACTACACTTAGAGTTGATCTGTAGGAAAACATAAAATATGGCTGTCACAAGAGGAAAGAAATACCATGGCCTGAAATTCATGTAATTTGGAAAATCCCTAAGCAAGTGATTCAGTACGATCTTGGAACAGTATTAACATCTGAAGCAAAATTCCTTGCAGTGATTAAAACCAGAAAAGATGGCAAAAGACACCCATAGGGAGATGCCAAAGAAGTTTGGCGAGATTAGAAACATGAAGACCATACTTGTGTTTAGTTATTTCAATTTTCGTTTCTACTGAAATATGCTTCTTTACACTACTCTCACTAACTCTTTTCACTTTCTTGAGAGCCATAATGAGGGTTAACTTAATGCAAAAAGAAACAACAACAAAAGTACCAAGAACAATGCAATGACACCATTCACAGCAAGCAAATCTGAATACAACTGATGCTGTTTGCGAGCCAAAAACATGGTGTCAAATTCCTGTTTTTTGTGCGTTTATGCGCTAAGGAACTGTTTACAGGTCAAGTCTGAATTTGTTTGGAAATTGTGTATGTGGGCCTATTTGTTTATGACCGCGACTGCCTCTGCTTTAGCCTGCACAAGTCGGGTGACCTCTCTGTATGCTTCTTCTCTCGCTTCTTTCAGCACTGCCATCTCTCTGCTTCTCTCCTCTCTCTCCTCCTGTCTGCGTCTTTCGTCTGCTATCTGGGCCGCTGTCAAACTTGCAATTAAATTGCTGACGCTTTCTTTGGTTGCTGTGGCTTCTTTCTAGGTCTCTGGTGGCAGCATCCTTTTCTGGCATTCTGCTTTTGGCTGGGTGGGCGGGTCGGTATTTTGTGCGGCTCAGTCTGGGTGCCTCGTACCTCTGCTGGTGGCTGAATCGGTCGGTTGATAACGCCAACTTGATCTCTTTGAGGTACGGACAGCCCAGGTACCTCGCGCTGTGGGCCCCTGCACAGTTTGAGCATCGTCTTCTTGGGTTTGGTCTCTTGAAATCCAGGTCCTCCTTGGCCAGAGGGCACTCCTTAAAATCATGTGCCTGGGAACAGTATCTGCATGCTAGGCTGCTGCGGCAAGTCGCGGCTGTGTGCCACGCCTTGTTACAGCGTGAGCACTGCAGAATCTCTGTACTGTGGGTTCCCGGTCGCTGCTGCTGCCTGAGTGGGCGGGTGTTGGTGGCTCCCTGCGCCACGACTGGGGCGACTTCTAGATATACTGAAGCATCGATAGGGCCTACATCCAGGGCTGGCGGCGTCTGGGTGAGTGAGGCTAGCGTCTCTTCAGGATCGTTGACCGGTTCTGGCATCGTCAGGTCTGGTGCGACGACAGGTGCTTCCTCCTTGTTGGCTGAGGTCGCCCTGGTTTCTCGGCGCTGGACAGGATTCTTCTTGCCACGGGCCATGATTTAGTGTGGCTGTGGCTGGTAAAAGCGGTACTTCTCAGGCGGCTATTGAAAGCTCGATCCCTGCAGAGTCGACAAGGCTTGTTAAGTGCTCTGAAAAGAACACCAAGCGTGTTTTCTCCGCAGTTCACGAGACAATCGTTCACAAATGGATGCAACAACTGGCTCCTCAACAATGGTGTCCTCACTCCCTCTTCACTAACCGCTGAATAATGTGTCAAGCGCAGACGACCCCGATAGTGTAGTCGAGACAAACGCAGCCGAATATCAAGCGAGTATTGACCAGTATCTAGCTATTGAGAATAAGGCTACGAATGGGTAGTTAGCGGGCGACGAGAGGCACCAGTGGCTTATCGGGCGGTTGAGCGAGCGTGGACTGACGAGAAATCTTGTCGATGAACTTGAATTTATACTGTTTTTAGGCATGGAAAGTCATCTCCTCTTTGGTTCCTGTCAAAACTGTGATGAATATATCTAAACTGTCATTGAGATATCATCATGTTCATCTGCATCGTGACGTCACATGCTTAACACTCTGGACATCCTCAACAACACTACTGACAGGCTACAAGACAACAGCGTGGCAATTTTTTACCACTTCTAAGGTTTTCATTTGAAGTCCCCTTAGAAATAGTAGTAACAAAAACAGCAAAGGTCCCAACAGGCAAACAAAAACAACAGCTCTGCTTACCATTTCAATACTTTTGCTTTTGGAATAGTAGAAAAACTGGAATGTTCTAGTACGCGCAGCAATTTCCTCATACCATTCCACAATAAAGGCAAATCGAGCATCATCAACCTAAAACAATGTGGATGTAAAATAAGTTAACATGCATATAAAAAGTAAAAGCAAAGAAATCTTTCCCCTAATTTGGCGCCTTTCAAAATTCAAAACCTTCATCATAGGCCAAATTGAAAAAAAAAATGTATGATCTTTACTATGGTCGGTGTCTGTGGCTTAGGCGTTGCTAACACGCTTCGTAAGGCCGGGGTGCCGGCTTCGATCCCAGCTGCGGGCCTTGCGCCTTGCGTTGGTTTCGACAGTGGTATTTAGAAGCCGACCGTCCAGGAAGCAATGGCAAGCTACTGGACGTCAACATGCCTAAAAAAACCACAATAGCCAAACAAATGCTGGGGTTGGTTCTGCAACATCCTGTAAAGGATATGCAACTAACTAACTATGGGCTATGTACAAGGTGTGTTAGGGAGTGAAGAGACTGACAGACTGGCTGATTCTGCACCAATGGGTGGTGAACTGATGCATCAAAAGCTACATCTGATCAGTTCCCTTTGGGAGCAAGTGAACAACGGGAAAGCACAAACAGATCATTATGGTTCCAAGAGAATGATACAGGCAGCAATGACCAGGGGATCTGAGCAACACTAAACGCAAAGGAAAGCATGATAGAAATTCAGGTTGTTTTTTGCTGGCTGTATGCAATGGTACAAAATACTGCAACTTTTCTTAGGCATACATTTTAAAGCCTTTCTTATAGTAATAAATATTTTTTTTTTAACTCTTTGAGTCCCAGGGAGCGCACCACGCGCTAATTTGTTACAACCGCCCAGCCCAATCGACGTGTGACAAGTGAAGGTTTTTTAATTTACAGCTGACTGGTCATAAAACGTGCACCGCTCAATTTCAACTTCTTTTTTATTTCTTTGATCTGACATCATGCATGCTCATTTAAAAACGTGGTCTGAAAGTCGAAAAAATTGTATATTTGCGAGATTAACCGAGTTACTAAGCGTTTGTTTGAAAAGAATATGGCCGTCAAGCAGTATTCTACAGGCATGCCAACATGATTTACGGCTTTAGAAGCCTCAAATTTAAATAACATAGGTGTTTTTTCGATTGATCCAGTTAGATAGATAACACTGCAAATTAGATGTGTTTCAGTCATTTACAGAGTCAAACTTTGATGAGGGATATCTCTAATGTGTACCTCTCGCGAAGGGTACAATGATAGCAGAGTCAGCTGGCACAAATAGCATAAACATTAGTTAGTGAAAAGACGATTTTTAGTGTCAGTTAGTTCTAGTGCTATTCCCCTTATTATGTAGGAACATAGCTACAAAATTACAGGCAAATTGAGTGTTAGATAAACTTCATTTTGTGTGAAGATACTAATTGTTTTTGGAGTCAGTTTTCTTTACCAAATAATGGTGCTCTGTTATGATGCTTCAAAAGATTCTTTGGAAAAAAATCTAACATATAGATTGAGTTTTTATTTTACTTATACATTACTAAGTGGTTTATATTAATTTGTGATTCATCTTGGATATATTTTAACCAGTTTTCCTTGAGTGCCATGGTGGTAAGTGGCATCATCAGAATTGAAACTCTTTAACGGGCTGCTGAAGATGAGGACGAAGCGATTACAGCAATGTCATGAGTGCTGTGCCTGTGACTACTGTAGTAAATGATATAAAAAATATTTTTAAGCATTTATTAAATATTACTTAACAAAACAAATTCTGTCTCATATTTCAACTCAGGCCGTTAGCTGGAAAGCTGCCGATCGCTTAGTGGGAGTTCTCTCCTTTGGCTGCATTGCAAACACGGAGCGGAAAAGTCAAGAATAAAAACAGACAGTGAGGTCGACAACAGGGCTGCCAATACTTGGGTGTTTCCCCCGGATCTGGATCTTTATTTGACGCTTCGGGGATAATCTGGTTTAAAAAAAAAATAAATATATCATTTTATGTATATAAACGTGGTATTAGTTGCCACGGATGTGACTCCTGCAGATCTGTATGACTCACTGACCGATAAATTTGTGTGGTTAGGGGTAGGGTTAGGGTTAAGGTTAGGGCTAGGGATAGGGTTAGGGTTAGATGTGACAATTTTGACGCAGGAGTTCCGAATAATCGCGCAGTCACATACACACCCAAACAATCAAAGGACTGTGGATGCTACTCAAACGGACAATTCGCCGGCGATTAGGCACCATCCGCGCGCTATTGCAGTCATATTTGGGAGAATTCCAGTGGCGCCACTCCAACAAGCATCAGATTGTCGACCAGTATATGGAACTCCTACGTCACAATTGTCACATTTAACTCTACCCCTTACCCTACCCCTAATCCTAACCCAACCCCTAACCCTATCCCTAACCCTACACAACCGTATGATGACTACGCAACCGTACACGCAACCGTATGATGATAGGTAAGTATGTCATTTGATTCGTGACTTTTCCGCTCCGTGTTTGCAATGCAGCCAAGAGAGAGAACTCCCACTAAGCGATCGGCGGCCTGAGTTGAAAGGAGAGCCCAAATTCTAATTAATTCTGACCCGTGACCGCTCTCTTCTAAATAAATTACTGATATGTAAAAAACTGAAACGCACACAGCTGTAACATGGTTTATTATACGCTTTTTATATTTACCAT